TAAAAAATCTCTCATACATACACAAGCAGGTGCATTGTCCTTAAAGCATTCATCTCAGCATGTCATTTAAGAGGGGTGATAGTTCTGCTCCCTTGCAAAATATGCCTGACTTGACTCTCGAAATGTGACGTCTGACGATAATTTGGTACATCTGAGCTAATGCATTAATATTTCATATTTTATAATGGTCCACTCACAGAGCATTGAGTGCAAAGCATACACTGTACTCGAGCGACATAAGGCTAATTATAACCTTGTCCTCCAGATAATGACTATTTGAGTATATAATGCACTTGTAAAGCAAGGCAGGAGGTTGTTTAGGCCATGCTACTTCACAGTGCAATGGGTTTTAAGCAGTGTTAGATAGTTTTATGTTTTTGCTTTTTTTTTTCCAGTCCAAAAGGAGTAATCTGAACTTCATTACTCAGAACAGCTCCATTAAAAGTGGAGCACTAATGTGCTCGAGCACTAAAGCAAGTAGCAAGCCTGTGCTGACTGATGTAGAAGGACAGGGCAACAGATGTTTTGCCCAAATGACTCCATACAGCACTCGTAAGCCACTATCCACAAGCAAACTGCTAGCTTCACACATCCTCCCTTTGATTACCACTGGTTAACATTAGCGCTCTACCCAGAACAAGGCCTGGGGGCCAGAATCCGTTCAGTCCAGCACACTTGCTTTGGAAAATCTTAAGGCAAGTTGAGTAAAGTGATTTGAATGCTCAGACAGTAGAAAAGTTCTACCTCCCGCATGGCTATTCATGGTACAACAAAGTAATGAAATGAAAAAACTACTAGATGACAGAAAAGTTCCTGTTTTTTCATTTCTGCGGTCCAGCCTACTTAACATGTATGTGGCCCACGATGCAAAAATGAGTTTGACAACCCTGACCCTGAATGTCCAACTGAAGACTTTTGAAGCTCTCCAGCATGGCGTCACGACTTCCAATAACCTCTTAATCTCTTGCTAAAACCAACACGCTAACACCAACTAAACCAAAACAATCCTGTTTGACAATTTGCTAACACGCTAATATCAGCACTCCTACATGACGAGCATACAAAACGTTTGTGATGTGCATGTGTAAGACTGCAGGAATACCAAGAACATAAAGATGTTGCTGCTGAAAACATTGAGCATTTATTAGCAGTTAACAGAGAGAAGGGAGTTGGGTTTGAAGTAGAGCAGAAGAGCAGGGAGACCCAAAAAATCACAGAGGAAAACAGTCAAATACATTAAGCACATGTACAGACAAGAATTAAAAGAATCCTTTCAAGTAAATCTTTAAGACCTTCTGCAAGAGCAGGGGAGGCACAAGCACAATAAATACTCTAGTTTTTGTGTCCAGTGACTGCATCTAATGCTGACAAACATGCAATGCATGCACAAAGAAGACACAAAACAGTTAAGCTGCCACCAAATTTAGGACATTGGTTGATTGTCCAAAAAAATATAAGTTTTTAATGTTGCATCAATTTCTGATTTGCCCTAAAAATCTGTCTGTGCTACTGGCTTTGTTTTTACAAATGGTAAACATATGCACAGAAATGTTCTATGCATGTATAATCAATAGTGAAAATCTGAGTTCAACTTAAGTTTAAAGACACAAAAATAATTCTGAATACATTCAGTTTCGCTCAACGGTAAGTTTGTTTTCACAAAATACATCACTTTTCTTTTTTTATAAGGGGGCAGACTGCACAAGAGCACACATTATAGCAATTCACCAATGAGCAGCTCGTGCACATCACAATTCATCCTCCTCTTATACGATGTCATCTTCTGGAAGTAGAAATGAGCCAACAGCAGGTTAGAAACTCCTGTGAATGGTGACATTGGGCTCTATTGTCCTGAAACACAGTGAGAATGCAAATGGAAGCAAAATCTCTTTGTGCAAACATGACAGCGTGATGAGCAAATGTTTGCAGTTTTGAGACGACATTCACTAGCCAAGCACAGCGAGGTACAGTCTAATGCAGGGGTCGGCAACCCTAGGCACGCGTGCCACAGTTGGCACGTGAAGGGTTAAGTGATGGCACGACCATAGCTGGACTGGCCATCGGGGATTTGGTCGGTGGTCCGATGATTTTTTCTTTGTAACGGTATAAACAATGGAAGGTGGTGGATTGGCCAGATGCTGGTCGGTGTGTAAAAATAACTCAGTTGTTTGGTGGTGGCTGTGGCGGTGCTTCCACAGATTCGGTAACATTAGCAAGTGGTGGAGGCCAGCAGGTGGATGAGAGAAAGGGGAGGCAGGAGGAGAGACCCGAGGCGGCCGCTGGTCCGAGTGTCAGGTGAACTGAACTTCAGGTAAGAAGTTATGACCTGCAGTCTATCTGGGTCAGATATAAACCAAGTTTAGGTGGAGTTTATTTTCGTTATGCTGACTTTTTACAGTCAGTTACAATAACTCGTACTGCTACTCTAGCATGACGGAGTTTCTATACAGCTGGGTGGGTGCTTTGATGTTGCTGATAGTGAACTTTACTAACTAACCTTATGAATAAAATAGAGTTGCCAACCATCCTGTAAAAAGGCAGTATCATCCCGCATTCAGAAAAAATATTACGCATTTGGTGTTGAGCTGAGAAGAGACGCAGTTTGCCCCGGACTTCAGCTAGAATGGAAAAAGACACAAAAGTGGATTTATTCTGTTACACTGCACAGCTGCCTCTTCTTCTCTCATTCTCTCCCCTCTCTCTCCTGTTTCTACTTCAATCATGAAACTGATCAATGATCAGCTGATCGGCTTTTCTCTGTTGTTTGTTTATCGCCCATTTTGTGCCAGAAAGAGGAAACCAGCGGATGTCGCGCTAAACAACAGCAGCACGTTTAAGCTTGATCAGCTGTTGTTAGAATTTATTTAATATTTCTTTCTATGATGTTTGCTGATGTTAGCTGATGTTTGCTGGAGCCACAGCTGTAAAGCTGCTGGTCATGATGTCGGTTTGGATATGTGGTGAGAGGGAAACATGAAGATGAAACCAGGAGATGTCCTTACTGAATCATCAGAGCTGTGATGGAGAAACAGGTTTACCTTTTAGGTGACATGAATGAGTTGAAGGGTTGGGTTGAATAATAACAAACATGCCATATTGGCCCAGTTTATTTCTCTTATCATTGTTGTGAGGAGACCATAAATAGCAGTTGTATTTTCTGTTGTACAGTTCATTTGCTGTCATGGAGTTCTTGTTATGGATAAAAAGTGTCTTTTTTTTCGCTATTCGCTGACAGCTGCCAACATCTGCGAGCAAATATAATTCTATAAAGTGGTTCTATATAGTGTGTAACTGTTCATATAGAGCGTTATTACATTTATTGCTAATGCAATCATATGGCACTCGTCATCAGAAAGGTTGCCTACCCCTGGTCTAATGCAATGAGGAGAAAAAGCTGAGTATATTATTAGCATGAGGCATTCAGCCTCTCATTTTCCAGGTGTCGCCGAGTCCCAGGATCCTTTTCTGTCAGCTGTAAGTAAAGTAAGCAGGATTTAAGTTACGAGTCATCTTCCATCCTCTAAGAGGCTTCTGAGTGAAAAGCACATGTCCATAATTCACCAATAGAGTGTACTTTTTATCGTGTGCTGCCTTCTCATGTGTGAAATTGTTTAAAAAATATGTTTAACAGCACGTATCATTTGTTCAGGGAACACTGGATAGATCGTTGTGTCGCTGCTCATTATATGCCTCTACTTGAATGCACATGAGCTACAACTGCAAGTATTTATAAAGATAATTGGAAGTGGCAAAATGAAAAATAGCTGTAATAATCATCCTGACATAATTCAGAGTTTGTCTGCTCAGATTTGGACTCATTCATCATTCCTGCTGAATTTGATGGCTACAGGTATGTCAGAAATTACACAGAAAGTATACTGCATTTCACAGACTGTCCAAGTCTTTCCACTCAGCAGCCACAGGGCCAACACACGTGTGGGCAGTTATTTTTAATCCCCTATCTAAATGAATATGGACAGAGCCATAACTTCACATTCTTCTTTTCCTGGCCACCGGGACAAACCCGGATCACTTCCCAATCCCGATTTGAATCTTTACTTTGGCCAAAGTCAGCAAGACTTTTTTTTCACTATTTATGCTTTTATACAACTTTGCACTCACATGATCAGTCTGTCCAGTCCTTTCAAGACCAACTACATTTGGCTGCAAGCAGATTTCTGTACCGTCTGCAGGACAGACTGCTGGTGACCACTGCTCTACAGCTGGGAGCGCTCTGACACTGCTGTTACTGTGCGGCACGCTGGCTGTACAGTAGCTGACAGGGAAAACTGCAGAGGTGATGAGGTCAGCTGAAAAGACCATAGGATGTCCTTTAACCTCTTTGGATGAGACTCAAAGCTCTTGATGTCCTCCAGAGCAAAGAGAATCATCCTGGGCACCACTTGTTCAGCCAACTGCCCTCTGGAAGGAGGAACATTAAAAGCAGAACAACATTAGGAAAGAGCTTCTTTCCATGGGCGGTAAAGACTTTTAAATACACTTAAACTTAACGCTGCCAACACTGAGCTTACATCTCAGGTGTAAAAGCTGGTTTGTGAGTGATTGTAGTAACATGTTTCCTCCTTCCTCTTTTCATGATGTCTGTTTTCATCTTGTCTTTATGCACCTTCAAATGTAGTGCTCTGAAATTTCATTGTTTACTATCTGTACAATGACAATAAAGATTAATCTTATCTACATAAATGTAAGAAAATGGAAGTAGGCCCTGAGTTCTGTTAATGTTTCCTCATGAGCTAATCGACTCTGTCACTCACATTCACAGTGGGTAAAAAGTGACGCTGATTTTGTAAATTTTGGTGGTTTAAGGATTAGCCAGGGATTGGCTAAGAACGAGCCGATGAGCGTGCAGCCAGGCAGATCAACTCCTTCATCACATCACATCGTGTTTCAAAACAACAAGATGGTGAAAACACCGGATAACAAGACTTCACAAACCAGTGAGCGATGCCATAGCAGCTTTGTCCTTCCACCTGTTACACTGTCCATGGACACCTCACAGCTAAAACTGTGGCGGAGATGTGAGTTGGTAAAAAGCTCAGTCAAACTTACTGTATTTTGACACATCAGCATGAGGTAGATGAAAGAAAAAACGATTCAAGGTCATGTATAAGATGCATACAAGCTGACGTGTATGATACTTGAAACATACAGTTTTTGAGACTTCTACATCATCAGTGTGTTGTTGCCCCCAAAAAACTCATATATGCAAATTAGTATTCAAGCTTTTAAAAATGTGTTGATATAGCAACAAACCCAAGCTCTAAACCCAAGTAGGGTAAAATATTTGTTTTCTCAAAAAAACAAACAAAAATGAAATTATGCCAGAGATGACAAAAACGCTGTATTTAGTTATATACATTCTTTTTAAACATGCGTCAGTTTGAGGTAGAGAAAAGACTAATGCTGAACTCAGACAAGTGATTCCAAGCATAGTTATAGCTTTAGCTGGCAGGTGTGCATGTCTGTGACGTCACGCATTTCTGCAGCTGCTGTTTTTACACTTGCAGGAAAATAGAGCCCATTGTCTGTTCGATGAAGCTTGTAGCTATTTAAAGAAAACATCTACTGTATGATCAAATTGAGAGAACATGTCTGCTAGAACCAAGATTCACCAGTGCTCAGTTTGCTTTGAGATTATGGGTTTTTTATCCCTCGTTAGCTATCATGCTGCTCATGCTGTGTTTTCACCTCACCATCCAATCCGTAACGTCTATTTTTGCGTTGCTGTGCGAGTCTAGCTTGGATGTGGCACTCATGTGATATACTGTACAATCAAGGTGATGGCTGGAAAAGATGCTGAAATTTCCATAACGTCAGACGACCGCTGTTAAACATGCTACAGTGTGTTTCCAAGCTAACCTCCAGTGGCTGTGATGCAATAGAGGGCACTGTGGTGTTGCCCTCCCTGAGGAAAAAACTTGTTTTATTTTTTACTTAATTATTTTAGTCCTTTTTTAAACTAGGTGCTCAAAAGCTTTTCACCTCCTGTCATTTGGAAATGTCTGAAGGTAATAAGCCACTATCAGATAAAGGGTCTGGAGTAGCAGCAGTGTTGCCAACTTGTAGCACTTATCAGCCAGCCTGCTTACGCTCCAACAAATGATGTTCGTAAGTAAACAGTCTGCCATCAACAGCTTTTGCTGAAAGTGCCGGCTGTACTGTGATGTGTGGGGCTGTGACTCTGGCTCAGTGTTCATTTTTCACCGTGACCTGTGTGCGCTGTTAAAGGCTCTGTGTGTAGAAGTTTAAAAGTCAGCATTTTGGTGATCGTTGGCAGCAAAAACAGCATAGCAATGACAACAGTTAACATTTCTTCACAATTTACAGTACTGTATAAAAGGTTCACGTTAGTTCTTCTTCTTATGAATGTCCGGGACATTTTTTCCTCTTCTTGTCTGCAGAGTGACACTTTTGGTTTGTCTTTGCATCCCTCTTCAGAGTTTGAATAACACAGGAGTAAACGCTCTGATGTCTGCTACAGCGTTTCCTCCTCATCATCAGCCGTTCCGCTCATATTTAGAACAGGCAGATTTTCCCTCAGTGAGATATCATCCACCCGCTTGGGACCACTGTCCTCAGGCTCCTCGGGTATGGATGGATCCGAGTTACTGATTACGTATCCTGGCAGGGTGGCACGCATGCTGATCGCGGTTGGACCTGTGCTCCGGTAAACGCGGCTGGAAACGAGCGTGGTGGAGCGTGTGGACGGCCCAGCACCAGCCAGGTGGGACTGGCTGCTGGTGCTGTTGTTGTTCAGACCTACGACCACAGATCCATAACGGTAGCGGCCGCACACAACTGGACCCTCCCACTCAAAGGAAAGATTCCACCGTGTCCATGTTTTCTTTATCTCTGTCTGAACCTGTGGGGGTATGGGGAAAAAAGCCAGTAAATACACAAAGCTGAATTGTTTTTTGCAAAGATCAGAGTGCAGAAGAAATATTTTGAGGTGCAGAATACTTTTCTAACCAGTGGTTCCTTGTTCCTGTTTCATTTTGTTTAAAATATCAGAGCAGCCAGACTGCATGCACATCCTCGCTTCAGATCTTATTGTTGCTTACATCCCTGTGTGGAAATTACATATTTTACCACAGTTTTCTGCAGGTAGTCCTGCAAAGACATGCGCTTTAGTTTAACTGGTGATTGCAAATAAGGTGCAGGTGTGAGTGTCAATGTGGCAAGCTGCCTCTCTGTGACCGTCAAGCAAACTGTTGAGGAGGCAAGAGGCATCTCGCTCAGCGCC